TGATGGTCCAACAAAATTATTTTCAATACTGTATACCTACACTGTTAAATTCATAACATTAAATTTGAATTTTTTAATTTTAATCATTTTTACAAATCATCACACTGCTCTTACGTAATATATCGTTAATTCAACAAACAATGGAGTTAAATAATTTAATTTAAAAAACGTGTTAAATTTAATTCAAATTTACTGTATTATTTACTAAATGTATACGATGTTATTTTATTACTTACTAAACGCATATGAACGTTATTTACTTTAAAATTAATCAGAAATGGAGTGATCAAAATTTTGGCACACATAAAAGTTAAAAATTAACAAAATATAATTACTTAACTCAAGAAATTAGATTAACATTGTATCTTCAACATTTAACAGTGAAGCTAAATTAGATACTTTAGCAAAACCGTTCCATGTAATTTCACAACAATCTAGTAACGTTACCGCAAAATCAGTGGACAGACGATTCGATCTCTCTAATTAACGTACCCTAATTTTAGTCTTAGTCCGCGCTCGGATTTTCAGGCGTGATTCCATTGTGAATTTTTGCAATTCAAACCGCTTTTATTATACCGCCCGCACGAACGAACGAGCGCAATTACTTGCCTCGCGCCGCCGCCACCGTGGAAAACGCGGGTGTAATTACAGTTCGAAGAAACGCCCGTTTTCCCACGGCGAACATCGGAGAACTTGAGCCAATACGGCCGACCGATGTAATTCGATTGTCCGTCTCGACCCGTTACGCCGCGCGCGGGTCTCTCGCATAATTATGATAATGCGGCGCGTGGTAATGTGCGGGGAAAACGCATGCACGATGCGATCATTACAGCGGCGTAGCTACTGCGCGGCGAGAATGAGAAAAGTTTGTTTCACTATTATCTGCTTCTCTTTCCTGATACATGTATACCTTAAAAATGTCGAAAAATAAAATTATGACATTATATTCTGCTTTTATACTAAACACTTTTAGTATTGTTAAATAAAATATTTCTTAACATTAGGTCTGTTCGGGTTGCTTGCACTTTTTGCACTAAGCATCTTCGCCTTCTTTTTCTTCAATGCCCAGGTATATTTATCTTATTTTAAGTACAAAAATTTTGGGAGATTTCAACGTGCAAACGGATCTATTTCATTCTGTTTTAAAACTAACGCTCTTAATAATATAAAAAATCAAATATTTTTTAATAGTATCAGCAATGTAATCGATATTATACACTTACATGCTTGTCGACGCAAGTATTTTTGAAACTCAAATTTTACGTTAACTAAAATGTATCCTACGCTGAAAAAAAAATGTATCAAATTTTAATAAATATTTGTTTGAACAGTACTAGTTAAATATTTACTGAATATAAACACATACTATATAGTATGTAATTAATAAATGAAAAACCGTTAATTTGATTTAACTATTATATTTCTTTATTTAGTAAACATTCATAAATAAATGTTATATTAATACTATTAAAAACAATTGTTTATTAAAATTTTGTACATTTTTCTCTCAGTAATGATGCAGGAAGATAGTATAATAATATTAATACCCAAGACTTGCATAAGAGAACGCAAATAATCTCAGCTACTCTACTGAATCGTTATGAGCATATAAGTTCTCTGATCACCGAGCATTAAAAGACGGCGCCCTGTAACCAGACGTAAGAAAAAGTGCCTTTGCATTGTGTTCCATAGAATTGTAAAATGCAAATGTTTCGTAAAGTTTATACTTATATCTCGACTTGTATCTCGTATTTTAATTGTGGCAGCATTTATTTAGCATTTTAACTATGCGCCGCGCAGTAATTAAGAGGGAAGAAAATAAAATAAAACTTAATCAGCAGATATAAAAAGTTACATCAGCAGATATATAAAATATCATAAAAACAGCTTCATCTTATAATAAAGTTCAAAAAGTTAAAAAGTTCATCTTATATTAAAGTTGTTTTTGTAATATACATTTTGTAAAAAAATTTTTCTTTATGTTGCACTCTGACGATATTAAAAGCTACGCTTTTATGCAATATTTATCTAATATTTCTTCAACGTGTTATCAATCATAAAATGTACGTTTCATATCTTATCCTTTACAGTTAAAAATAATTTTTAACTCTTTAATAACCAATACTCTTGCTTACAACAAATATATTACAATTTAATTTACTTCTTCTCTCCATTTTATAAGTTCTATTTACAGAGCAGCATCTTTTCAATTTTTTCCATAAGTATATATAATGCATATGTATAAAAAATGCTGCATATGAAGTATTCATATGAAGATGAAAAATTAAAAAGGTATCGTCTTGGGACGGTAAAAAGGAACAGGTTAAAGTAAATTTAATATTTCATATTATTTTGCATAAATATTCTTTAGGATTCAACATAAAGAATTAAAAAAATTTTTTGTCACTAAATGTTCCCTTGTGATGTAGGATAATAATAGCGAAGACGCGATAATAAATATATCATTACTTATGTCGAAATACTGAAAACGCGAAGAGTTATAAATAATGATATTCCGCAGTACAGTAAATTACATATTTCGTGCATTATGCGGTAATTCTACCACAATGTTTTGAACTGATAACAACACAGAAAAACGTCGTGATTGCCGGAAATAGGATAGGCACGTAACGGAATCGGAACAGATGTACAAAAATCATATCGCGACCAACCTTGTCGTCTTAATAAAGACCTCACGTCAAATCGTGGCTATTAAGAAGTTAATAAAAAAACGCGATAAGTGCATGACAGGCAATGACGCGCTGCGCCAATAAAAATGATTTCATTAAATCAAACTCCCTTCTATATTCTTCCATACATAATGTATCGATTTTGTGTGTTAGACTTTACAATAAGCGTGTAATGCTGCGAAAATAAGCTGGACAAGGAATCTTTTTCGCGCAACGATGAGAAGAAGAAAATTACCTAACCGAAAGCATCCGAAAGTTGCGGGTCACTCGCAAACGACGATAAAGAAAAATCGACGCAGAATGGGTGAAAGAGAGAGAGAGAGAGAGATATATACATATCGGGAGGGAGATTCGATAAAGACTCGACTGTGGCGCACCAGCAGACGCTACAGGGCAATTACAAGGTCAACGGGCCAAGGAAAACGTCGTCCAGATACTCTCGACTCGAGGTCATCGTCTCTGCCAAGCACTAGCCGAAGAATTTTCGATCGCGCGATTCCGCCTTCGCTGCCGATCCGAAACGAACGAAGACCAAGGACTGATGATTCAGTACAAAAAGACATCAAATGACTATACCGCTTGCAATAAAAACATTTCGCTCCTGCTACTTTTTTATTTCAGAACTTGAAGTTGTGTGTTAATAGCAAATTTCCGTATAAAAATTCATATGAAACTAGAGTGAAACTCGTATGAAACTATATTCCAATACATTTTTTATAGATACCTGAAGAATATAAAGAAGTCAAAAGAAAAATATCAGCGAATTTCATCCTATTTTTAGTTAATTGGAAAGAGGATTTATTTAATTTCAGAATGTGACAATAAAAATTTAAATAACAATAAAATAGTTTTGAGACAGCTCTTCTCATCCTTTCGAAAATAATAAAAATGTACAATAACGCAGAATAATTAACAGAAAATTTATCGATCATAAGGCAAATAGGCAGTCAAATATAACCACATGCGAGCTTATATATAAATATAAACTAGCAATATATATCAAATTTAAACCTGAAGAATTTGAACATGTGCGCATTCTAAAAGTAGGACTGCTCAGAACAGATTGCTGACAATTGTTTGTCGTAGAATTAAATTTCAATCAAGTGGGACACGAAAATGCAAGGAACTTAATTTGCACTTTTTGCACGATTCGACCTCGTGATTGTGCGTTTCGCGAGCGTTAAGCTAGTCACACACACTTTCCGTAATAGTAACAGTAAGGTTTTCGACCAATCGCGTTGCTCTTACGGTTACGGTTACGGACGATCGAATCGAGCGACGCGATGTGTGACTAGCTTTAGTGTACATCGCAAAAAACGTAGCCCCCCCGTTAAATCGTTTAATTCGCCAAATAGTTTCTACGAACGGAAATCTCTCCGTTCGATAATAAAGTAAATAAACAGTCTTCCACGCAATCGCTTTGCGTAGTAGCTTGATATCGTACTATTACACTACATTAATTCTTACTGCTAATTAGTTCTAATAAGCATCTCATATAAGCTACAGTCACATTTCTCTAAACTAAACCATGGCTGATTAATGGGAAAAGATTAATTAACTGATCAAGAAGAAAATGGTCGGCTATGCAAAACCGCCGGTATTTTTAGATTGTCGGTAACTTCGAAAAAAATATAATAAAGTAATTTGCTATCGACGATAAACTCACGAATGAGGACAGTGCATTATCGCTCATTAAATCGATAACTGTTTCGAGATTAATATATAGTTAATCACGTAGGAATCGATTTAGTCTCACTATTTCATTGTAGTTCGTAAATTTAGAAAAAAAAACTATTGAAAGAAAAATCAAATTCGTTTAGCCTTCACTTGATTTTTTAAAATAGAGGTTACTTTAATTTGTGATTTTCAATCGTAATTATATTTAATCACTTTATGGGTAAATGGATATATCGTATTTTTAATTGATATTGTACACCGCATCGCTTCCAAATTAGTGCAATGATCTTGTAAAAAAAAGCGAAGTTAAGTAGAGTAAATATGTTATAATAATTTCTCACGATATTACCCTACTTCGTTTGATGTCTACCATTCGTTAAATTAAATCATTATAATTTACCTGTTATTATCATAATTACTGTATTATAGTAAAAGTAGAATAAATGGTATGATTTACTAATAAAACAAAAATTATTTTGATTATAATAATTTAATAGTAATAATCACGAATGTCCCACATTTGAAGTTCCTTCGTTCAAGGCGGTTCTCACTCCACTGAATGGCATTAGTTACCTTAATCCGAGATGTATGGACGACCGGTATGCTAATAACTAATTAAGATGATCGGCTTACCATGAGCTTTTCCCGATCCAGATGAAGCAGATCGCTGCCTTTGATGTCCTTCGATTTGAAGACGTCCGCATAGCGGTATAAATTTAGGGCTGACATCCATTCAACTACGTTCAGCGACGTCCACTCACTGACAGGCTGCGAACAGAGAAACGAGACATAAATCGTAGGTGGGCATCGATGGCACAAGAATCAACGACGACTAATCGAGCCAAGTCCACTTGCGCACGAGGAAGCACGTGTACGCACACACGCGTACACTTCGAGGCATATTTATACGGCTTGCTACTTGCTAATCCCGGTTAGATCACGTGAATGATGAAAAAAATTAATTAAAGCAAAGTAGAGCTGACAAATGAGGCAACAACGTAATAATCTTCTAATAAAATGATTTTCATTATTAATTACGATCACGTATTCTATATGAAGTATCTCACTTTGAAAATTACTGGTATAATTTTGTTTAAACCGAGTTTTCAGGAAGTTATCGTTCTTCGCGACCTTCCAATTTTGAGTGTCAAATATATTTATAATATACTTCAGATTAATATTCTATGAAAATAAAATTCATCTCAAATTAATAAGTTAGAGAATAAGATATATGAATAAATTAACTAGAAGTAAGAAAAACGTCAACTACAGTCAAAGTTAGATGTTGAAATAATATTTTTATATGGATTTTATTATTATTTCAGTTGATTGTGTTGCAAGTCAGAAAAGTAATCGGCGTACAGTCATACATCTAAAATAAATGTATTTAAAACATGTCTGTATAGAAATATTATTTCAACATCTAACTTTGACCACAGTTAGCGGCTTCTCTTATTTAGTTGATTCATTTCCAATTATATTAAATGTCATGTATTTATATCCCGTTAGAAGTAATGTATCAAAAGGGTTAAATATAACTATCAGATATATTATAATTTTACTTTTGACAATGGATAAAAATATAATCCGGGAGTATCATTAACAGTAAATCGTGTAAAATCCTTTTAAACGTACATAATTAATCGATTCTTTGCAAGCGGAAGCAGATAATAAGCCAAGATTGTCCCGTTTGCCAGTCGGATCACGCGCTTATTATCCTCGAGATTTTAAAATAAAAATGCATGATCTCCGGCATCGTCACAATCTATTAGAATTTTTGTCTTTTCGTTACCACAATGATATTAATTTCTTTCTGAATTGTGACTTCAGAATCGCTTTACAGAACGAGATTCACACAGCAAATTGAGATAATCGCTTCTTGTTAATCGGTTGAACTGAAAGAGTGAAAGTCGGAATAAAATAAGATAAATCTCTTCTAAGGTAGACGTTTGATTTCAGATATCTAGTTTCCCTTCCTTCAATAAGAAGCAATTCAATTTAACTGAGTACTGTGTTTTCAGAGATTATCGACATTCTCTATTAATTAACGGATGATATATCTTTATAAATAATCTTTTGCAGTGGTATTTTACAACAGTATATAATATCTAATAAAATTGCTAATTGTTATTAACAACATATATTATCAGGTAAAGATAATCCCGATTCACAATTAAGACGTCTTTCGTGTATTTCAGGTATTTTAACGAATTTCATAATAGTTCTTATAATTACTTCCATAATAAATCTATCAATTTCTCTTTAAAAAAGTTTAATTGAAACACTTAATTTGTTTTTATGTGTATATTCGACATGGTTATGGTTCGATTATGATACAGGCTATCTCTATTATGGCGAGCTCTAGAGAACACCTAATCGTATTTTTCCGCATCGTTATACGATTAGTTAACTAAAAACTAACTGCTACAATCACAAAATAGCATTGCGGTTTATTTTATAAATTTCCCAAATTATTCTCTATAAAGCTTTCTCTGAACATCATATACATTAAAAATATATTTATATATTTACCTATAATAGATGAAAAACAAAAATTCAGAAAAAAATAAAAGAACATAATTTATATCAGTCTATTAACGTAAAATCTCTATCGATTTTAATCGAATGAAAGATTCGAATATCATCAATAATTTAATTATTGACGAGTAGTTAAACCCTCGATGGTAACAAAAGCAGCACGATATACCATCATACAATTATAATATTTCCATCGTATCAATATTTCCATATTAATCTCCATATTAATCTTCTATGATTAATAATTATGACTCTCAGTTAACGATTATTTAATGCATACGTGCGTAACATCTACACGTATTTCATCATTACGTAAATTTAAAAAAAAGCAACAAAAAAGAAGAATTGTACATTTAGCTAGAATTTTTTTCGCATACAGCTCTATTCTCTCTCTGGACAAGTGCTGTTATCCGGTGTCGATCGCGCGAGGATTACGTAAAAACCAGACGCGAGAAGCGTCTCCGGATTTTCTCGATCCCGAAGATAAGGCGCGTCGCTCGTCGAGCACTTAACGCACTATGCGACCGGCCAGGTCCGATTAGATAAATAAATCGAGGCGCGATCGGAGGCGCGGCGGGACGCGGAGGTGGGATAAGGTGACGCGAAGAGAAGAGACATCTCCGTGTGCCTCCAGCCGTTGCTATCGGGTAGCGAGGGTCTGATAAAGCACAAGCGTAAAAAGTGCGGAAAAAAGAAAACGTAACCTCTCGCCGTAACCCCGAGTCCGCGATATGACGACAGCCGTGAGATAAGCCCTCGCTTGTGTCGTCCCCGTCCGAATAATCCACGCCAGCCGGCAGCGCGTGTTACATCCGCGCGCATCCGTCCGTCCGTCCGTCCGATCGACGCGCTCGATTAATCTCCGTCGAGAGGAGATCGTTTCTTCCTCGCCACCGCACACGCTACATCCCACCAACACCGGCCGGCGTGAGAATTAAATCGCCGACGTCGCGAATTTTTGCGACTCGACCCGTTAATCTAGGATGCCTCGCCACGAGGAACTTATTTCGCGGAAATCATCATTTCTGCGACGGAAATCCTGCCGCGATATGGTGACGTTTATAGAACGTCTTTTCTTCGAAGGGATTTTGCAGCGATTGATGCTGTGCATCTATCTAAAATCAGACGTGTGACCTAAAATATTGTTATTACAAAGTCTGTGTGTGTGTGTGTGCGCGTGTAAAGTTTGTACTCTTAAATACAAATTTTTATATACAAAATTGATATGGCATTCGATTGTTGACATGTCCAAACTTATTTATGAATAATTTTTTGTCCACACTGCAAAAAAATAAATATACGAAAGAGTTTTATAAATATATAAAAGAGTTGAGTAAGTATTTTTTTTTACATCCGAAATTCGAATGTCCACAATTTGTCCGCATTTGTTCATAAATTACGTAATAAAAAAATAAATTTAGAGATACTTGTGAAAAAGTTTGTGCCATTTTTTGTTTAATAATTCCTTTTGCAAGGTGGTCAACAAACAATAAACAATTATTTATAGATAATTGTGGATAAAACGGACAAATTGCACGGAGAGAATTTTCTTTTAAAATTTACCCTGAAAATATATATGGTGATTGTGTGGTACAATACAATATTTTAAAGATTTTTACCATGCACTTCAGTAAAATTGATCAAACTTATTTTATACTTTATTGTAGTTTTATTAATGAATGAGAGAGATTTATATCAAAATTCTTCGAAATACAATATTGTCCCACGATTGTCATATTTTCAGGGTAAATTCTAAGAAAAAATTCTCTCCGTGTGTGAACATTCAAATTCGATATATAATTTGAAGATACAAATCTTTAAGTCCTCCCCTACCAAAATTTGCTCTCAATATATACTCCTGTTTGTTTATAATTTATTTTTACAGGATAAATAAAAAACAATTATTTATAAGGAAACAAATACGGATAAATCGTGGACACTTGATTTCCATGTGTAGTGAAAAAAAAATTTTTGGAGTACTTCAATCCTGTTGTTTATATTTATAAATTCTTTCTGCAGGGTGGATAAAAATTATTACTTATGGACAAATGTGAACAAGTTGTGGATAATCAAATGCCTATCAATCTTGTAAAAATTCAATTAGAGGTTCACAGACCTGTAATCACAACGAATCAACATTCCGATGAAAAGAATGCATTAAAAATTATTTTTATATTTAAAATAGCAATTCTTTATATTTAATTAGTTAGTCTCCCTTCGGTTTTATTTCAGATTGAAATTGTAATTGTTTTATATTTAACTCGTTAAATTTGATTGAAAGAATAAAATTTAAGACTTGTACGAATATTGACTTTCTTATAACATTGTCCGTTATAATGACTCTCGTGCTGCAATTAGACATAAATACATCAGATTTACTCCACTTAATCTGTTCAGTCATCCGTAAATCATAGATTATCATTACGGAAGTCTATTTCAGTTTTCTTAAATTGTGATAGTTAAAAGACATAAAATGCAATTTATTGCTTCCAGCGTTTAGATGATTTATTTCATTATAGCTTTCACCTATTGATTTTCATTCCATCAGTAAAATAAAAAAGATGCAATTATATACGTAACATATAGTTACATACAGTTTAAAAAAAACCATTAAATTCATATTATTTCCTTTAATGTATATATCCTTACAAGAAATTTATATTCGAGCAAAAAGTTTTCGATGAATTACCACTCTCAAAAATTTATACGCATTACATTGCATTATATATGTATTATTATCATGAAATATACATAATATTTTAATTTTGTTTTCGCCTTGTGTTAATAAGAAATGCGCAGTTTTAACTCGGATATTTTATGCTTTTAACTCGGTTAACCTATGTTATCAGCTTTTACAAAAAAAGAAGAAATGACATTCAAATCCCTTTTTTACCCTTTTTTCCCCTATCATAATTTCATGGCAAACGCCGTCGAATTTAGGTCGTTACGCTATCGAATTTCAAGCAGGTCTCGCCCTGATAACGACATGCCATTTGTACGTTTATGTAGAATTAGCGATTATAATAGATATAAAATTTACATCCCTAGATGATTTTCTCTTTCACGAAAAATATGTCAAAATCTTATATAGATCCCAGTGATTCGAAATAGGAATAATGAATTTCTTTTTATATCAAGACAGTGTCGAAATCGCTATTTCAGTTCGACAGATTATTTATTATAAATTATTTTAATTTAATCGCGAAAAAATGCAAAATCATAATAATATGAAAAGTTTCTCCATAATTTTACTTAAAAATAGTAAAAAAAAATTAAATACACAAACACTTTCAGCGAAAATAAAACGAAAGAAAGACGAAAGAAGATAAAATCTCATATTACAATAAAAAATGCTTTGCGCATCATCGATTTTACGTGCAGAATAGCACGTCAAGATTTTCTGCATTTTATAATGCATCAATCACCGTTGAAACATAATCAAAGATAAATCCTTATCACCAGAAGTATTAGTTTCAAGTTTCCGAGCTTGATATTTTCATGTGCTATGTAGTGTCTCGATACAGATGAAGTTTCGATGTCCGATTTTCATTATTAAGTGTTATGTACTTTGCCTTGAATATCGCGCGAGGATTCTGCACATTTTTATTTCGCCAAACTGTGATAGTGCATGCGCGAGAGATAATTCTGTCGGTTTAAAAGCGTCATAGAATCCGCTTATGTACAAAAGGTATAAAGTTATAAATAAATCGATCTATGCTGTAAAATATTAAATATATTAATAAAAACAAAGAGATATATATATATTCTAGGTTATAAAAAAATTTTTTAATTATCTTTCAGTTTTATGTATAAAAACGATTTTTATATATAAATTTATTCAGAAACGACATTTATTCCTCAAAATAAAGATCATGTTCAATAGTCATTCATCAGCAGTATGCTACACTGAAAAAAAGAGTTTGGTAATAGTTATCAAATGTTTGATTAACCAAAAATAATTTTACTTTTCTAAATATTTAATAATTAATATTAAACATTTGGTTATATTATTATGTTTGGTAATACTAAATATTTACAAAAGTAAAATTATTCTTTACTTTATTAACTCTTTGAGAGTCACATTTTTTCTACTTGACGGATTTCTGTCAAATCTTACAATTCTGTGTTTTATGGATGATTACGAATCTGAAGTCAGATTTTAAAAATTCGGAACGGCAGATCCAATATGACTGCCATATAGGAGTAAATTAGTGTAAATCTGAATGAATATGGCTTCTACAAATTGCACTTTGTTTTCGAATTTTTAAATTAAATTGAAAGATGAAAGTCCAAACTTCAATGTTAGACTTTTCTAAAGTTGCTGGAATATCTGGATTATGAATTTATGAAAATGGTTAAAAACACGTTTTTGAAGCGTTTCAACCCCTTCTTTTTTGGAAACCTTACATGAGAAACAATTTTTTGAGGTCATATTTGTATTCATTCTCTTCACTATAGAACGATGTTCCATGATAAAAATGCAAAAAAACTTGTTACGTAATGTAGTTTTTATCTTCACAGTAGTAGACCAATAATTTTTTAATAAAAAATTAGAATGCAAAAAATTCTGAAATATATATATATATATATATGTATATATATACAGGGTGTCCGGAAAATCGAGACCAATACTTCGAGAAGTAATTCGAGAGCCAAAAAGGAGGAAAAAAAGCTATATAAACGTAGGTCCGAAAATAAGTCGTTTCCAAGTTATTTTTATGTTAAAAAATTGAAATTTATTTTTCATAATTACAATCATAATTTATTTCACTGTGTTTCAACATAAATGACTACATGTTTTATTTAAAAATTTTTTTACTTTTTATTTTTTAATTTCCGGTATTTGTAAATATGGTTACTGCATTATTTTTAGATAAACATAAACAGATTAAATAGAATTAAATAAAATGTTCAAAATGACCACCTTCAGTAAGAATGCAGGCCCTTATTCTTCTATCAAAAGAATTCCGAACTCTTTGAAAACCAGTTGGATTTCTCCTTATTTCTTCGAATATTATTGGGCGCATTTCTGTAAACTATGTGATTTTACATGACCCCATAGATAAAAATCAAGTGGATTCATATCTGGTGATCTTGGGGGCCATGCCCTATCCATCTCTGGCCATAATTTCGATTCAAATGATCTCTGGCTACACGCCCAATAATATTGCTGACATAAGACAAAGAGTAATCTACGGATTTGAAGGAATAAGGAGGGATTTAACTGTTTTTCAAAGAGTTCGGAATTCTTTTGATAGAAGAATAAGGGCCTGCATTCGTGCTGAAGATGGTAATTTTGAACATTTCATTTAATTCTATTTAACCTGTTTATGTTTATCTAAAAATAATGCAGTAACCATATACAAATACCGGAAAATTAAAAAATAAAAAGTAAAAAAATTTAAAAATAAAACATGTAGTTATTAATGTTGAAACACTGTGAAATAAATTATGATTGTAATTATGAAAAATAAATTTCAATTTTTTAACATAAAAATGGTAATAATTTCGAAACGACTTATTTTCGGACCTATGTTTATATAGCTTTTTTTTCTCCTTTTTGGTTCTCGAATCATTTCCGGAAGTATTGGCCTTGATTTTCCGGACACCCTGTATATATACTGTATTTTGACATATAAAAAATATTTAGCAAAAATTTTAATCTCTTATTTTAAATATTTTCTCAAAAATTATATTTTTTGTTAAAAAAATACTCTTTTCAATTTTATTTCCTAAAAATGATTTAAAAAAAACAATCAGATATAATGACTATGTAAAACATGAAAAGTAAGCAATAATATATCAGAAAAATTTAAAATCACAATTGGTTTTCGAGACAAAATCAAACAGCTAAGAGACTGGTAGCGAATAATTATTGAACATGATAATCTTTATTTTAATCTCTAAGTAGATAGATGGTTTAAAGATGTAACTTGATAGGTGGGATGTTCAGTATACCCTAAAACTTTTTTTAATTTTACAATTACATTTCCTATTAATATATCATGTTATAATTAAATTTACATTAGTTATACCTTTATGAGATTGAGAAATATGTACTTTAAGATATTTTTGAATAATTCTTTTTTTTCCTTTTTCAGAATTTGTAAGTCCTTTTTCAAGATTTTTAAGAAAATTATGTACGGCTATCTCACCTATCCACTTGAAGGTTACAGAATAATTGTTATTATTTCTGAATAAATCTATATGCAAAAACCGAAGGATAATTCAGAACTTTTTTGACATTCTAGTATAATATAATTAGAGATTTCACGTTAAGAATTTTCACAAATTCTTTAAACAATATTTTTCAAAATGTGACTATAACTCACATTGCAATGTATCCTAATAAGATTCGTTTTACTGGCCAGCAGAGATCACTTCAAAGAAAAATAAAAGATACTGAAAGACACATGAGCGCAACTCAAGTATAATTAATTCGAACGGTACACCATTCGTAACGTAACGAGGAAGCACTGGCTTACTGACCTTGTCCTTGTCGTGAACCTGGCCCGGTAGCGCGTGACCCTTGGTAGCCCATTTGCACAGGTGCTGGCCGCTGTAGTCCGAGCACACGATGTGGAAGCACGCGTGGCACTCTGCAGGACATAGAGAACCGCACATGCAGCAACATAGACTACTATTATGATCGCGCACAGTTCGTCTCGTTGCCAACCCTTCGTGGGTGGCTGAGCCCCTGCCACCCTTCGCGCGACCGATCGAGGAGTTCGCGTCGACGCCCTCCGCCACAGCAGGCTGCTGCTGCTGCAGCTGCAGCTGCTGTTGCGCGCTACACCAACACATGTATCGATGAAAAGACACCGGTCTCGCGCACACCGGCCTCGTGAAACCGAGCTCGCTCTCGACACCGTCCGCCGTCGACGCCGCGGGCGTCGTCGCGTCGTCGCGCGTCGACGTCGCCGTACGCGATTGCAACTGCAACTGCTGCAAGGATTGCTCCTCGAGTTGCGCGGTCGCAGTCGCCGCCGCCGCAACCGCTGCCGCCGCAGTTCCTTCCCGATGCTGCCTCGTCGCCTGATTATTATTACTGGTGGTGTACCACCTGGGTGACACGTACGTCGCCGTCGATCTGGACGTTGCCCGCGTGACGTCGTACAGCTGACCGACAACGTGGTCGCTGCCGTTGCCGTACGTTGCGAGGATCGACGGCGCGGTAGCCGATCCGATGGCGAGACTCTGCATCTGCCGTTGCAGTTGCATGCTCGCGGAACTATTCAACGATGACGACGACGACGATGACGACGATGATGAGATGGTAGACGACGGCGCCACGGCGCCGTTGGTAGCTGCCGTCGTCGCCGTTGTGGCGGCTTTGCGCAGCATGTAGTTGTCGGAATCGACGGCTAATAATCGCGACATTACCGTAGACTTAGCCTTGCTGTCGTCGCCCGTTCCGGGACTAATCTTCGGCGAGCCTTTTGACTCGAGCCGGGAGGACATCGTTGTGATTTGCTTATCCAGCTCGTCTGTGCAGGTACCGACGATCGTCGTATTCGTGTTCGTCGACGACGTCGTCGTCGTCGTCATTGTCGTCGTCGACGTCGTCATCGCCGCCGCCGTCGGCATTGATCCGGGAGAGAACAACTCCTGGATCCTCGCCTGGTGATGCACTTGCGTCGCGGCGGCCGTGGCGGCCGCAACGGATGCGCTCGTCGCACGCTTCATCGTTGCCGTGACCGATCATCAAGCAAGTGCTCGTGGCAAGACAGCTAAATTTTCCTCGCCGATGATTTCCTCGCAACTGACGCGTTGCTGCTATTCGACCCAGGCGACGAGGCCTGCTCCTCCCGTGGGCCACCCAGGTCCCCCGACATCCTTCGAAGTCTTTGAGATTCGCCGTCCGGAGTAGTTACGTACTCGATCGATCGCGATTCTCAATCATCGGAGACACTTGGATACTCAAGGTCGCTAGCATGATGAGTTCGCCCTATGAATTCCCTTGTGCTTCGTTGCCGGCGTTATCTCGGGGTTCGCTGATCCTGCGCACGGTGGACTTGTCGGCTCGAAGAAAATTCTTCAAGGCCGCCGCGAATGTGGCATATTTATTCGGTTGGTCGATATCAGAGCGATATCACTCTCTTGCGATCGAGATCTCGTTCCTTCAAGGATTCTTCAACGTGATCTGGCAGGCGATTCTCGCGGTTCTATCGCCTTCGTCGTTATTATTAATAGAGGGAATGCGTGGATAAACTGATAGACGAACTGGGGGAGTGAGTGCGAGTTACAAGGAGACAGACAAGGGAGAGAGAGAGAGAGAGAGAGAGAGAGAAACGAAGATACAGGAAAAAAAGAGAGAGAGATAGACAGCCGCTCCCGTGGGTGTGACCTCGTGTAAATTCGTTTTCCATAAATCTCACTCCTACCACATACTCTCCCGCGGTCGCGCGCGCGGCGCGCTCTCACACACGACCTTTGTATAAACGCCGAGATTCGCTGAGCCGAACGAAACCGGTTTTGTCAAGCAACGACACCGAGCGATTTTCAAGCGTAGCCTCGCGCGAGCGCGAGCGTACGGGAATCCTCGTGGCTTATCGAGCGCGATCCCGGAGTAATCCCGGATGGAGTGGAAGGCGATCGACCATCCGTTTATCTGGAAATTCGTCCCGGACGGATTAATCCAATGGAACGATGCTGCCGGATTATCCTCGAAGCAATTAATAATGGTAGATTCCAGGTGGATCCACGATGCGTGCGATCGCTCGGAAGAGGGATCCCTTGGCGCGTTCAATCGCACATTTCCAGCCGATTTTTGAAACGTTGCCGATCACTCTATCCACTCGCGAGGATCCAGAATCGGCAGATTCTCAAAATGTACACGTGGAAGTCGGGAAGAGTCCTCGTTTCCGTTAAGGAAACCGGCACGGAGCGTACCGGGTGGTCGCAAAATGACTGGATCGGACGGTAGACAGACCGTCGCGCGAACGTGGAAGTCACTCGCGGATAATTGGAATCATCGTGGGCACTAATAGCGTTGAAACAACCGGCTCCCGTGTCCGCCGAGTCAGCGGCTCGTCAACTCGAGACGGGAGCCGCTTATCGCCCGGGGTTCGCGCTGATCAGCAAGTAGATCCTCTCCTCTCCTCACTCTCCCCTCGCAGCTCTCCTTCGTTGCTCCCGTCGCTTCGCCGGCGTTCGTTGTCTGCCGAACGAAGCGAGTAAAACGTGGGTCGCCTCTAATCTCCCTCGATGCGACGGAGCCGAGTCAATGTCGGTCGCGACACAGCTCGATCACGTACCACCGGATGGCCTATCAAGGACACTCCGGCTACTTCCTTTCTTCCTTTTAGCTACCTTCTGCCTTCCCCGCACTGTCGACCGTGATTAAGCCCACGTAGTACCGGATTGTTGATCAAGGACTCGTGTCTTCTCTCGTCGTTGTTGCTTTACGTTCGCTTTCTCCTCCGCAGGGATTTTCTTTTCTTTAATATCTCGCTTCCTAGATCTTCTCAAGTTCCTTCGGTCTTCTGAATATCGGTACAATTGGAGCACTAAATGCAGCAACAAATTCTTCGATCGAGAAGCCGCATCCTTCGAATATCCGCTGACCGTTCCCTTTCTTCCTGCCCGTCCCTTCGCAGCTCTTTCTCGCGCTTCGCACAACCGACCACTTCGTTCCGTCGCTTCGTTCGCCGGAACGGATCGGACCGCTCGTCCTTATCACGTCCACCAGAAGGCCGCGACTGCCAGCCGTTCGTTCGCGCACGGTCGTGTCTCGCCGGATCACCACCGCCGTCGTCTCGACGCTTTACCGACCGCGAGTTAGTGGCGACGGAGGAGTCAGAGTCGGAACGGAGTTCGTGTGTACCAAGCTGGCTCGCTCGCTCACTCGCTCTTTCTCTCTCTATCTCTATCTTCCTCCCTCTTTCCCTCTCTCTCTCGGCCGGCAAGGTAGACCTCAGTGACGGACGATCCTATTACCTCCTCTTCTCGCTGTCGACGATTCCGCGGTCGCTTCCACCCGGTAAAGCCGTCCACGTAAGGTATCCTCTCGACGTCAGCGCTGCGACCAACCTCCTGGTCTCTCTCTCTCTCTTTCACCCGGGGTAATCCAACTCTCTCCTTTTTTTCTCTTTCTTTCTTTCTCCTTTTCTTCTTCTCGCACCTGACGCGCGCTCTCTACGAAATCGAGTTGGCTACCCTTCGATGCGGCTCTACCTGGCTTTCGCCCGTTTCTTCTCTCTTGACGGAGGTCACCGCGTAGACCACGAGAAGAGAGGAGAGTCGGTCGGTCGGTCGGTCGGTCGATCGGTCGGTCGATCGGTTCCCGTCCGTCCTCGTTCGCAGGTACTCGGCCGAAAACTCGCCGGCGTGTCCGTCCGCGATCGCGAAGGCGGCGCGCGCACTCTCGCGCACACAGACACGCGCGCGGACGGCACGCACACACGATGTACGCACGTATGTACGTATGCACGCAGTTCTCCTCCGGTATGGAAAAGTCCACTGGGCCCAGCACTTTTTGTGCCGGCGGCCTGCCTGCAACACGCGCGCACACACCTGCACGTCGCGGCGGCACACTCGTCACTCGTAACGCATACGTACACGACACCTATCTATTTGCCTATCCTTTTCTCTCTCTCTCTCTCTCTCTCGCTCTGTTTCATTCGGTGTCTCTCCTACACTCGGTCGATCTATCTCTTTTCACTCTCTCTCCCTCAGTTTCTCCTCCCACCGACCTCTTCCCCGTCCCTCTCGGGATCGCTCGTTGCCGTTCTCTCGTTCTCTCTCTCTCTCTTCCTCTCTCAGATCCTCTCTCGAGCGATCGTCTCCGCGCTGGCCGTGCACAGCCGGTCGGTCTCTACATGTAGAGTATTGCCCGTGAGCCAAGTTCCTCCTTCCCTCCCTCGTTCTCGCTCTTTCTTTCTCTCTTTTTCCTCTCTCAGTATATTTCTCTTTTTTTTCTCTCTCTAGCCCTCTTTGACCCCCGCTCCGTCTGGTTCACTCTCCTACTCCAACTGCCTTTACTTGCCGCAGCGCGTGTAGCCAGCGATTCGCACGTTTTGGGCTTTCACTCGGACCGATCCATCGACGATGACGACGACGACGACGACAAGACCGGAGCAGTCAGTCTCTCTTTCTCCTCGATTCCACTCGCGGACATATGTACGAACGCGTGGCTCCCCGGGGGACCGTCCTCTACGCGATCGTCTACAACGCCCGGAGACCGAGAGTCTTTCAAGCACTTCCGTCGCCGCTGGACTCCTCTCCTGAGGGAGTCCCCGCTGGCTCTTCTTTCAACCAACTCTGGACGGACGTTCGTTCGTGTTTCGATTCCCCGTTATTGACTCACACCGGCTGATCTACGCAGGCCTGAACGACACACCGCCTCGTCTACGTGGACGGCTTCTTCCTGGCCGCGGAGGAGAATACCACACCGCCGGCGAGGCGCACAGCTGACCGGCCGGTCCGCCAAGCTCGGTCAATAGCCATAGCCAGCCGCGAGCTGCTGCCGAGGGTAGCTCGTGGTTCAGCGCAACGGCGCTTCGGCAATCTCCGACATTTGTCGGTTCTTCCCGTGGCCTTTACGCTGAGCAGACTCGTGCCGGAACGACGCCGGGGCCCCGAACCGTTCGTTTCGGTCCGATCGAACCGCCGGGAATGGAAATTTCCTGCCGAACATTCCTAGGCGACGAGCGGATCGACCGAGCTGGACGAACGAGAATATGCACTTATCGGGAATCATCCGTACTCCCGTTTTCAAATCTACGATTTAATTCTAAGGAGCCTTTCGGCGTCGAATCGTCATCATTTGCCATATGATCCTAGTGTTGGGAATCAACGGGTTGACCTCGGTGATGATGAGAATTACATGAATAACAAAGACCGTTCGGTTCAGTTTACGATTCGATTCTTCACTCAACGATCGCACAGATTAAATGAAGATTCAAAGATGACAAATTGATTTGATCAAATGAAACTTGTCTTATCTTTATCAAATAAATTATTTTCACATTTACCATATCTTGACTGAATTAGTCTGCTAATCAGAGAGAATAGTGAACGAAAATAATTTGGTGAATTTTGAACGATAGCTTTTCCAAGACATTAGGTATTCCTCATCGATCGCCTCTGACGAAACGATTTCGGGATGGCGGTGGTCTCTCTGGAGCACCAAAAAACTCCTCGCTACTCGATGATCGTGTCTGATTGAGCCGGAGCAAGAAGTCGATGGAATCGCTTCTGGAATGTTGAAAATAAGATGCTTGACTGTACGAGCACGTTGTGTTTGAGACGCATGTACGGGGCGTGCTTTAAGGGGAACTCAGTCGCGCATTTTCTGACGTGCTCCGAAAGTCTTTGTCTCTGTAGCCTCTTCTAGAAGACCGGAAGAACGTCAGTTCTGGAAAAACTGGAGCAGTTTTCGAGATTCATTTTGTCACACGGATTCAACCGGAATTTTATAGTGAAAAGAATAAGTTGAAATCTCGAGGAATGAGTTTCGACTATTCTTCCCTTGTACTCAGTTCTTCGGGAACGACGACTAAATTTTCCAGACAAGCTCCTTATAAAAAGAAGATTGACGTTGCTTCGATATTCTTCTGAATATATCCTTACGCACAGATTCGATTGTAAATAAAATCTCGTTTTGAATTGTATAACACGATCTGAAGGATCTCTCGTTTTCACGCTGAGATCTTCGAATGAAATCTGGTTCAGAATCTGTTATGTCATCCTGTCAATTTTTCTACAAAGCCGTGGTATCCATTTTTTAAATTGAAATCAATTTTTCAGTTTATCATGATGATAAGACTAATCGATTCTTCGTGATAACTTCACGCGCGACAGCTTCGACGATGAAAATTCGATTCGTTTCCATGCGAGCTTTTCACTGTAGCTTGCTTTTTTTCGCGAATTATTTGTTTAACGAAACAGCGGCGGGCGCGCGCGAGAAAACCGCTTCGCAACGGATATTGATCGAGCAACGAGAGCGAGCGTTGACATGAATTTTATAGTTAACGTGGCACGCATGGCTGGCGGAGGTTGATAATGTGTTCAATCAAACCCACGCGTCATTAAACAAATAAATCTCAAAAACAAAGACAGACAAATTTTGCTTCAAAATTCATAAAGCAAGATGTACATATATCGATTATAAAAAAAAAATATTTTTTCCAAGTGTCTCGATATTATAAAAAGCAATCAAGAAATAATTGCTGATTTAATAATTGATTCAAATTAATGAAAACTTTATCGCCGTCGATCAAAAGATACCTCTCCTCAAACATTTATAATACCGTTTATTATATGATTTTATATAATACTAGTACAAGAACAATTATAGTTGTTTTGCAACATTTATTATTAAAATATCTAGATGATAAGAAACATTATAATTTATCAAAAAATGAGAATGCACTTGGAAAAAAAACATTGTCTTTTTTTTCCACTTTTATCTGACATGAACGTTGACACTTCCCTCAATCGATTGTCTAATATAATAATACGATCCAAGCGATTAATGAAGAATTACTGTCGAATCATAATCAATCTACCAACTGAGGCTCATTCTTATCTAAGACCAGTTGCGATAAAGGATCGAACACTTGTCTATAATCGCTCACATACAAAGATTGCTATTAAATAGACAACATGGTACGATCGCGTAACGAGAGAACTATACATTAACTCTGTTACGTGCATCAATAGAATTGACTCAGTATTCTATTTTTGAAGTGTTCGAGCCTTCTCATAAAACTCATTCGTGTCAGACACAATTCTGCCATTGTCGAGACAAATATAAATCTTTATAATATTTTTATAGATGTTCTTTACGATATATCATTCAGCAAAGAATAACAATGAGAAGTATATATCAAAAACCTGCTTGAAAACTTAATTAATATAATCAAGATCAAAGCCATCCCAGATGTTTGATGATTAATAAAAGAATCATGCCTAATTATATTTAAAAAAATATAGAGGTCTAAGGGTGGCTTATTTTCTTCAGAACATCCCATCCCTCTTTAATTCCTTCTTTACACAAAGGAAACAAAGAGCTTCATCAATGCTTTTAGCTAATTATATAACCCTACTTAAAGATACTCTAGCTATCTTTAAATCATATTCTTCATTAGTTCCTATCATAGATAAAAAATTCATTGCATTAAGAAAAGTAAATATAATGCAAGATATTTATTATTCTTCGCATTCATGTTTCAAATTATTTTTTAAATCTACATGCACACAATATGTATTTTGTCATGTTATTATTACGTAATACATATAATAAAATAATAATACAGCGTGCGTAAATAAAACAAAAATAAGTGATGTTACGTTACATTGTTAAGCGAATATCCAATGAACATTTTCGAGTAATCCGAGAGCTTTGATTTTCCGGCCAGCTGGGTGGAAGAAAGCGAAGACCGGCTAACGAGGCAATTTAAACCCGAATTTTGAGGATGCCCTCAAAGAAAGGGAGACGACACGAGAAGGTCCTTTGATCAGACCTGTATACTCGATCGTGCGTTAACGTTGATACCTTTTCGATCGTTTGCGTGAGATGCGTGCATTATTTTGTCTTCTTATTTTTCAAGTCGAGGATCTACCGAATGCACTTCCCCGCAACCTGCCATGAAGATCCTTTCGCAAGCAGATCCGACACTCGTTCTTATCGTAAAAGCGCGCTGCGTGGAACGGGACGTAGGCGGGCGAACGAAGGGACAGGGAAAGGGACGTGAAAGTGAAAAGCGACTTTCCAAGCCAGCCGGTGCGGTGTGGCGAAGGGCCCCCGGCGACGAAGGATGATCGAACCCTGCGGGCGAGCGCGCGTGCGCACCGCGACAGGCACGTCCTGTTCAAGGTCACAGGGCCGCCCACGCCGCACAGTCGTCCCTTCGCCCAGCGAAGACCCGGTGCCCTTTATTGAAATTCGGCGGATCGATTGTCGTGATTGTGCGAGAGCGCCCTTCCTCTCTTCCTCTTTCTCTTTCTCTTAATGACGCGCCCTCTCCATGCTAGTGAGGATAGGTTTAAGCGTGATTGCTTAACGATATTAAGGCATTTTTATTATTCAAGTGCAATTCACGTCCATTGAAAAGAATTGTAACGACGTGTGGCTAAACAATGTGGGAAAATGGAAGGCGTTTCTCTTAGAAGGGCATCTTTATTTCAGAAATGCGTGAACTGCGAATTTTATATATGTATATATGGATTATATTATTTAAAATGTCTATTAGTAATAAGGCTCATAAAATTTTAAAAACAATAAAGAAAAGGGGCTAACGAGCTAAAAAATTATTTTATAAAATTAACATCGTTAATGTAGAAGTTGGAACATAAGTAAAGAAACAATTATATTCGTTAAGATTTAATACAATGTTGTAGCAATAAACAAACAAACGTTTCGATCGCGGATCATTATCAATGTTAAAACATATAATATTACAAACGGTAAAAATAAAACATAATGTATACTTTGCTGTCTCTAACAAACGCTGGTAACATAAAAACGATTATCATCCTGTTCAGTTATAATGTAGCTTGGAAAAAGTCGTCACATGACAATAGCTAATTGCAGTAAATTATTGATTAGCTTGAATAATATCAGATAATTACAGTCAATCATTGATTAACTTGTATAATATCCTTTTGATATAATGTAAATCGGAGAATATAACGCGTGAAAATAAATTTAGTCCTTTGATGTAAAAACAAAATTTCTTCAGTCAAAAATTAAAAGGGTTTTTGGCGCAGAAAGTCAGTTAAAATTAGAGACAATGTGATAAGAGTAAAACAATATGTTATCTCTTCGATGTTATAAGACATTACATTTTCGGTGTTTTATGGATTATTTAAAGTATCAACAATATAATTTCGCGCGCCAAATCATCAAATAGGCGTCTAAAAGTCAAACAAAAAAGTTATATAAAGTGTCTTTTATATAATTATATACGTTGTTGTCAAATTTCCAACTTTTCAAAAACTCTAAATATATATTTTATACATATAAAACAATCTTGATTTGGATTAGAGATTATAAAGAAACAATGAGTTCTTAGAATTAGACTTAGATACTTGAAAAGATTATAGTTACTAAGAAAATTTGTACATATGTGTGCGTGCGATATTGATGTTGTAGTGATGTGTCAATGACACGTAAACCGTATGTGTATAAGTATATAATCTTATTGAATTGATATAAAACAGATGATTTTGGAATCTCCTTAATTAACATAAATTAAATAGATCTTATAGATCCAGCGCCAGTAACCGTTACAAATTTTGGCGTCAGTTTCAGAGAGTTAATTATTTCAATAATCAGGAAATTTTTATTAGGAATAGTCTGTATCGCAGATACACATCACTATCCCTTAATAAAAAAAAAACCGACCGCTATTAATAATGTTTTCTCTCCATCTATGTAACGATAATGATCAATGATTGCATCGTTCGTGTCGGACGCATCATTTTGCATTCTCATCTGATACGATTTGCAAAACGCACTGTGAATCGCGTTCCGCGGCGATTTCGCAGGCCATTAGGTATCTCTAATCTCACGTGAGGCGCTCTCACGAATATCGCATCCAATAATATCCAACTTTGTACTGTTCAAACCGGCAGCTAAAATAACACCCGACAAAAAACTCGAAGATCCTGAATGCCTGTGGCGGGTGTTTATCCGCGAATTGGAGTGGCGCCGATTGATCGCAAATTCTATTTTCGTGATCGCGATCGTGACGCGAATTGGCAAGTGGTCGATCGATCCACATCCGCAAAATCCAAGATCGATCCACAGAGCGCGTTTCACTTCGCTCATTTAATTCTAAGCAAAACGAAAGAACAGATGCATACTTATATAGAAAGAACAAGTTTATTAAAGTATCTAAAAATTTAATTAGATACAAAATAATTTTGTTGGACTA